CATACAGCAGTGTGGGGAGTAGCCAGCTGGCCCATGGGGAAAACTGCCAGGTCCTATATGTCACTCTGACCCTCTCTCCCCAGGGTCACTTCCCTCCAGGGGCCATTCAGATTGCACAGAAGAAGCCTTCCTGGAGGACAGAGCGTGAGATCCAGGCTCTCTGTAACCTCTTGCAGGTTATGGATAGCTACCGGAACTACTCAGAGGCCTTGCAGCTTCTCCTGGCCAAAGTCATGCGCTTTGAAAGGTCAGTGAGGGGCTTGGCCCTTCGCCCTTGGCTCTTGGGCTAGGGCTGGGCTGGATAAGAAGAGCTGGACTGAGAAGGTGAGGCAGATCTGCCCACTCTTCTGTAGAGTATCAGTCATGAAAAATCTTCTGTCAGTTCACATTAGTGGTCACTGTTAGTGTTACAGTAGAATTGTAGACATTGAACTTGAAGAGGATCTGGTAGGAACCTCAGAAAGGATCTGGTCAAATGTCCTCATTTTTGAGCCATAGGAAACAGGCTTAGAAGGACAAAATGACTCATCCTAGGGTGACCCAGATAACTAGGAGCAGAGTTAAAACTCAAATCTAAGCCCTACAAGCTACAATAGCTCACAGGTGATTGTATTGTTTTCAGGTGAGTACTACAACAAAATAGGGTCTGTGAACTTGAATTAGAAAAAAAAAATGATCTGTAGATAAAATTTATCATTTCTGGAAGACATCTTCATGGCTCCTGAGAACTAGCCATTTCAGGAGAAACAGAGAAATGAAGATTTTCCACTGATAATTCAGCCTCCAGCACACAAACTCATGTGGTAAGAAGACCCCTTTCAGGAACCAGCAGTTAGCGTAATGGCTATGTTGCTGGACTCCCATGTAGTCGACCGCGGTTCACGTCTCGGACCCGGTGGCTTAAAACTCACACCGGGCGCGTGTGCCTATGTGCCCAAGATCCCGAGAGGAGAATGGAGGAGAAGGGATTGAGGCGTGACCATCCCCCCGGGGGGTGATTTCTCGCTTTCTGTCTCTATGTCTCTCTCTGTCTGTCTGGCGAGTGCACGCGCCCTATGGCAAAAATCTCTCTCTCTAAAAAAAAAAAAAAAAGAAGACCCCTTTCAAGCCTCCTGTCTCTGTATCTGTCTTTGTCTCTCTCTACCTCTGTTTCTGTCTCTGTCTTCTCATTTTTTAAAAAAAATTTTCCTTTTTAAAATTTTTAAGGCAAAGCATTTTCTGGGCTTGCTGGCCCCTCCTTTTCCTTTATCTTGTTAATAATTCCCTCTCCCCCTCCCAACCCAGGAGAGGCAAGGGAAGAAGCCTTCTTGAAGACACCTTCATGGCTCCTGAGATCTAGCCATTTCGCGTGGTGTGTGTGCCAGGCAGTTTTCTAATTTTTGCTTTAAAAATTTTTTTTTTTAAATATTATTTGTTTTAGGTTTTTTTTATTTTTATTTTTATTTTTTTTTTAGTTTTTCTCTTATTTTTTCTCCATTTCTTTTTGTTGTTGTTGCTTTTGTTTCTCTCTCTCTGTTTCCTTTTCTGCATGCTCCTCGATGCTCAGATTGAACTTCAAAGTTTGGGAAGAAAAACACCATCCATCAGATGGCTAGAAATCACCACAGGGCCACAAGAATTATGGGAAAGCAAGAAAATACCTCTCTTCCAAGGGAAAAGAATAACTCCTCTTTATCCACAGACAGTCAATAGAAATAATGGAAATGTCTGATAAAGAATTTAGAACATTCATAATGGCGAAGCTAACAGAGATGGAAGAGAAGAGAAACA